CCTAAGAAGGTAAGTCTTTGTGTATCACACCATTCTTTGGTTGACCCAAAAAGAAGTCTTTCTGATGGTTTAAAAATTAAAAGTAAATGGTTCATGGTAATTGCAAAAAAATTTTTTTGAAATATATATATATATGAAAACACACACACACATATATACATATATATGGTAAAAAATCATAACATTTAGTAGGTCTAGTCCCTTAGTTGACCTTAAATTCCATCCGAATAGCTTTTTACAATGCCAAAATTACCCATCAAATGATTGAATTACATTTTTACCTTTAATTAATATGCTATATGTAGTGTATGGGATATAATTGAGAGTGCCTTTCAAGAATAATTACATCATTTCATATTTTTAAAAAATGTAAATGTAATGCAAACGAGATAAGGATCACAAAATATAATATGATTTTCATGTGCTTTATTATCGAAAAATAAGATTTCTTGTACTAACTAACTGCATTACAAAGGCCAACTTTAGCAAACACATTAATTGGTGTGAGCTTTCAAAAAGCCAGTATATATGTATATATATGTGACCCACATCAATGCTAATTGGTCTCTTTTGATTAGTCTGTTAATTTTTTTCACCTTGGAAAGATTTTTCCAAGATTTAATGAGCCCACCAGGCTTCTTTATTATGCACCTACTTCTAAGATCCTTCTGACTCAGAAAGAAAAGTCTTTGCCTTTATAATGCTTTAAAAATATAGTACTAGTATCTTAATGATAATTTTCAACTTAAAAGTTGTCATTTCAAGCTACCCAATTTAGACTTACACAAAGACAGACAAACAAACAAAAACCCTTGTGGGAGTTCTTTGCCACAATAATAATAATAAATAAATAAATAAAATAAAAATTAAATTAAATTGATGGATAAAATTGTTGATATTTATTAGTTGGATTTGTTGAATTTACTAGATAGTAAATTAAAGAATTATACTCTTTAGGTTGATTAACTATAGGGAATTACAAGAAATGTTTTGATTTAGTAGGTGATCAGGGGAGAACTCACATATGCACTCGCCTTTACTTTTTAAAAGGAGGTTAGGAATTCAAACCTCAGTGGAGGCAGTGTGTGTGAGTACCAACTAAGAAATTGGGACATCCCTTGACATGCCTAGTACTATATATATATATATATATATATATATATATATATATATACAAAACAGTCTTGTTGCACCCATCATTTTCAGAGAAAATGATGCCTTTAACATGTCATTTATAATATTTAATATTAACCACTATATGTCTCATGTGAGCGCCGACGTGGACCGAATTCGAACCAAGTATCATTTTGGTCCATTAGGCTTCGTTTGGATACACAGAACATAAAAGAAAAGAAGAGATTAGGAAAGAAAAGAAAAGAAAGTAAAAAGAAAGAAAAGAATAACTATAATTTATATTCATATTTGGATATATAGGAAAGAAAAGAAAGAAAAGAAGAGATTAGGAAAGAAAAGAAAGTAAAAAGAAAGAAAAGAATAACTATAATATATATTCATGTTTGGATATATAGGATAGAAAAGAAAGGAAAGCATAATATTCTTGTTTGGATAAAACAAAAGAGAGAAAAGAAATGAAAGGATAATAATTAAATTACTATATTGCCCTTTTGTATCTAATTTGTAAACCATCAACAGACTATGAACTAAACAGGGTTAAATGTTTTTGGAAACTACTTTAACATGCAAACAAAAAATGCATACTTAGTATTAGATAGTTCTGAACCCATGTAGTTGAACAAGGATTACTACCTACTTCAGAAGTAAATCAGAGCTCAATATTCAGAAATCGCGCCTAATATTCAATATTGTGAGTTCAGAATTTCATATTTTCAGTAATACCATTATCAACCTTGTTACTACATGATTATCATTTTAACTGCAACTCTACCAAATCAACAAACAACAGTCACATATACAAACCTTAGTAGAACTAGATGGTAATAATAGAAACAACAAATCTATTTTCCCAACAGAATCAAAAGCTAATATTAGTCTAAATAATTTAAACCTGAAAATAATTTACAAAGAGTATCATTTTCACTAAATTTGTATAATACTCACCTTTCAACAGAAAATGATTTCAACTTATGACATGTGAAAACAAATATTAAGATATAAGGAAAAGTAAAATGCAAAAACACTTCTGACCTATTTATTTTTCTTACAAATAAATCTTTTGATTTGACTAATAATCTCCTGAACTTATATGGAAGTAAGTCCTTATGTTAGCTTTATGATTAAAATAAGAACTTAATAGAGATAGGAACTTAATCCACTAACTGATCGAAATTCAAAAATTGATTCAAAGAAAGCAAAACTCTGACCTGAATGTCAGAGCTGGAAAAGAGGCGAAGCCGAAGCTGGAGAAGAACCGAAGCCGGAGAAGCGACAGACGCGAGAGAAGAGGAGATAGAGAAGCTGCGCCCTAATATTATTGACCTAGACTTGAATGTAATATAAATTTTGCATATAGAATTTTGAAGGCTAATTTTGTTTTTAATGAAAATTTTACTTAAATTGTTTCCTTTCTCCTCAAATCTTCTCAAAATTGAAATAATTTAGTTGGAGGAATTTGAAGGGATAGGCTATCCCTCCAAATCCTTCCCAATCATTTATTTTCTCTTCTATTCTCTCCATCCAAACATACTTAACAATATCCTTCTTCTTTTTTTCTCTCTAAATCCCTCAATCCAAACGAAGCCTTAATTAGTTGAGAAATTGGAACATCCCTTGACATACCTTGTACTAGCTTGTTAAAGAAATTATTTAATTTCATATTTTCTTTAATACTATTCACACCTACTTAAAAAGAGGACCTTTCTTTCTTGACCTAAGAAGAAAAGTCTTTGTGGATCCTCTACCACACCATTTTTTGTTGACCCAAAAAGAAGTCTTTCTGATGGTTTAAAAAATTAAAAGTAAATGGTTAATGGTAATTGCATAATTTAATATATATATATATATATATATATATATCATCAAAGTTTTAAAACAAAAGATATATGGTTACAATATATATTTTATAGCCCAAAATAAATGTCATGTTTTCTTTTTTTATCTGTTTCAAAATAATAGTTCACTTTTCTTTTTCAAATAATATATTTTACATATTTTCATAAATATCATTCGAGTTTAAAATTTCAAACTCGAATATTCAAAACTTAAAAAGACAAGTTAATAATTTTTCAGACAAACAATATATGTTCATATGTCTCCTTAAAAATTACCACTTTTTATAAAAAATACCTAAATTGAGACGGAGGGAGTAATATTTTCCAACATTTAGAAAGCCCCTCCTGGCTTCTTTATTATCCACCAACTTCTGAGATCCTTCTTTGTTGGGTCGTTGACTACAGATGAAAAGTCTTTGGCTTTCTAATGCTTTAAAAACATATTAGTTTATTAATGATAATTATATTGTTCAACTTAAAAGTTCTCTCTCATTTGAAGCTACACAATTTAGAATAATACAATACAACCAAACAAAAACCCTTGTTTTGGACATCTCTAATTATAGACAATAAACAAAGATCATTGTGAGAGTTCTTTTGCCATAAATAAATAAAATAAAAATTGATGCATAAAATTGTTGATATTTATTAGTTGGATTTCTCGAATTTACTGCATAGTAAATTAGAGAATTTTACTGTTTAGGTTGATAAGCTATAGGGAATTAGGGATTATAGAATATACTCTTAAATTGATAAATTGCAGAAATCTTTTGCTTTAGTAGACAATCAGGAGAGAGAACCCACATATTCACTCAAAAGTTCCACATTCTCACTTCGTGATTTTGTTCCTCTCGATAGGGTAAAAAAAAAATGATTTTGTTCCTCTCCATGGAAAATCTTCAAATATTTTGAACTATAACACGGTTTGACATGATCCGGACACGACAAAACATCAAATATTGAAAAAATAAAACAAAACATGCTAAGAGTCCGTCAATAAGATAATAATATAAATTATATGTTCAAAAAATTAATTATGCCCAAATGGATGGTGCTTTTGTTTTCTAAGGCTTTTATTAAGTTTTTCTATTAACCCATAAAAGTTTTTTTTATTTTTAGGTTAGGAGTTAGTTGTTAGAGGGAAGGGAAAAGGTACAAGGTTCAAACACCGACTCCTAAACACGAGAAACATCCCAACTGCTCGGACAACTGGACACTTGCTACTCTAGTAATTCACTTTCACCATTGATGTCCTTGTATAGTTTCCTCTCTGATAATGTTGCTGCATTCACTTCTTAACTACTTTCCAACATAAGAAAGTAGAGAAATATAAATCATTATAAATAATGTGTAGTCACATTCTGAAAGGTACTTCATAGTTGTAATATAGGCATCCTCCATTAATGTTTTGGATCCTAGTACACATAGTGGAACCTAATCTAACTCAAGAAATATAGGTCTCAAATGTATGGTGGCAATAAAATGGAGACAGTTACCTTCCAAAAAAGAAAAAAAATGGAGACAGTTTAAGTTTTTGTTTTATTATTATTATTTTTTTTAATCAAAATAGCAGAACTGGTATGAAAGGTTAAATCATAGTGACAAACATTCCCAGATTAAGAAACTATTAAGAAGAAATAATGACACTTATTTATTTATTTTTCCTGACAAACTAAGGGAAGGGGCACTCGAACACCGTCACACCTTCTCGGACAGCTGAACGCTCTAGCAACTAGGCAACTGAATAATACCCAAAAATTATTCCACTGCCGGGATTTGACACCTATTTCACTAATTTCTAAATATGAGAAGCATACAAGGGTCAAAAAGCTATTATAGGCAGTAAAAGTAAAATGTAAAGAAAATGATGTATGTTATAATTGAAGTACTTCTATGTATGTATATAAAGTATTCAATTTTTATTTTCTTTTTACCAAACTGAACAATCAGTCAATGAAAGTGTACTGGCAACAGTTTTGCAAATAAATAAATAACTTTGAAATGTCTGTCTGAACTACTTGTATTAGTCAAGTTGCTAAATATGTTAAAGCAAGTGGTATCAAATTCATTTTACAGTTGAGAGAACCCTTAGTGAGAAAAAGAATTAAAAAGATACCTGCTTTTTGTTAATTATAAACCCATTTCTAATACATATAGAAGCATACAAATGCTTTGCCATCCATAAAAAACCATAGAGAGGTAGTATTTTATCCTCTAAGAGTTCAGAGGTAGAAAAGAACACATACAGAGTGCAAGAGATGTCAGGGGATGCTGTCTATTTTCTACTGGATAAACTTGAAATTTGGCTAGAGGCAGAATGGAACTTGCCGGCGAAGATTAACATGGGGGTCCAAAGCTTGAGAGGTGAACTCAAAACCATTGGCGCACTTCTGGAGGATGCTGATACAAAAAGAGAGCACAATCACCTAGTCAGTGTCTGGCTTCAACAAGTCCGAGATGGAGCTTATGACATTGAAGATGTTCTTGACATTTTTACTTTTCACATGGCTCAACAGTATATTAGCCACGGCCTTGAGTCCCTCACCAAATGGAGAGCACGCCACTCCATCAATGAACTAATTGAAGAAATTGACATGAAACTCACAAGCATCAAAGAGACAAGGGAGAGATATCATAACATCCACTACCCCCAAGCCTCAAGTCCAACTACTGGAAACGACACATACCTTCATCCAAGAATGGCTTCTCTGTTTGCTGAAGACACTGATATTCTGGGGATTGAAGAACCTAAGAAGAAACTGGTTTCTTGGGCACTAGGAGGGAGGCATAGTCTCCAGGTGATGTTTGTAGTTGGGATGGGAGGATCGGGCAAAACAACTCTTGTTAAGAAAGTGTACGAGAGGGTGAAGGACGAAGGGTTTGAGTGCCATGCTTGGATCACTGCTTCAAGGTCAAGAAAGAAACGTGAGATCTTATGGAGGATGTTCAATGAATTCTGCAATCAACCGGTTGAGCAAACTCCCCAGAGTTTCTCCAACGTCGAGGTTGACCTGGTTGACCTAACGAACAAACTAAGGGAGCATCTGCAAAACAAAAGGTATGTTGTAGTTTTTGATGATTTGTGGATTAAAGATGTTTGGGAAACCATTAAATTTGCATTACCTGGAGGTAATCACAGTAGAATAATTGTCACTACGCGAAGAGGCGATATAGCTTGTTCATGTAGAGATGACTCTACTGGTGTCTATAACATCCAGCCTCTTCCTATGGAAAAGGCTCAAACACTCTTTTGCAAGAAGGCTTTCCCAGGAAGGAGCATATGTCCTTCAGGGTTGGAGGACTGGTCCCAAAGAATCTTAACAAAATGCGAAGGATTGCCACTTGCAATCATTGAACTAGGTCAAATTCTGTCAAATAAAGAGAAATCTGAATCTGTATGGAAAAGATTGCTTGAAAGCCTTGGATCAGAGTTGAGCAGAAATGGCCGCCTTTCAAATACCATGAGAGTACTATCTCTAAGTTATAGAGACTTGCCGTACCATCTCAAGTATTGTTTTCTATACTTGAGCATTTTTCCCGAGAATGATTATCCAGTTAGGTGCAGAGTATTGATTCGGCTGTGGATAGCAGAGGGTTTTATAAGAGAACAAACAGGCAAAGAACTTGAAGACATTGGAGAGGAGTATCTAAAAGAACTCACCGACAGGAATCTGATACAAAGTGAATTGGATTTTGATGGGAGGCCAAAAACTTGTCGGGTACATAATCTCATGCATAAGATTATTCTCTCAAAGTCAAGAGAGGAGAATTTTTGCAATGTTCTCTCAGATTCACAGAGAAACATAGGTGACAAACCCCGCCGATTATCTATCCAAAGCGGTGGATTCAACATGTTGCATAGGAACTTTAATTGTGTTCGCACACTTTTTATGTTCGGTGTACCCTACAGCTCCATTCCAGAATCCTCTTCAAGCGTGAAATTATTGAGAGTTCTGCATCTGGAAGGTGCACCATTGGAGGAATTTCCTTCGGAAATTTTGGAGTTACTGCTCTTGAAGTATCTGTGTTTGAGAAATACCAATATCAAAAGCGTTCCCAAGTCTCTGGGGAATCTTAGGTACCTAGAGACCTTGGATCTTAAGCAAACTAGAGTTACAAAGCTGCACAAAAAAGTACTCAAACTTGAGACACTTCGGCATTTGCTTGTTTATCGCTATGACATAGAACATTATACCTCTTTTGATTGTGTTAAAGGATTCGAGGTATCAGCAAAGATCAAGTCACCAAACTTGCAGAAGCTATCATTCATAAAGGCAGATAAGCATCACAAAGTGATTCACGGACTACGAAACCTGACACAACTAAGAAAGTTGGGGATCATTGATCTTCCAGGAGAAGATGGGTCAAAATTGTGCGAGTCAATTGAACAGCTGCGAAAACTCCAATCCTTGAATGTAACATCAATACGAAAGGATGAAGTTGTAGATCTACAAGCAATCACCAATCCTCCACCACTTCTTCGACGCCTGTATCTGAAAGGGCGATTAGAAAGGTTACCAATTTGGATTTCCAGACTTCATGACCTGGTAAGGATACGTCTTAAGTGGTCCAAGTTAACACACTACAATAACCCCATTGATATCCTTCAACATCTTCCTAATCTATTGGAGCTCCATCTGCTCGATGCCTATACTGGAAACCAGTTAGATTTCACTGCCAGAAAATTTCGGACTCTTAAGATCTTGGAACTTGAGCAATTGGAACAATTGACAAATGTCAGAATGGAAGGGAATACCTTACCTCGCCTCCAAAAGCTGATTATAAGGCAGTGCAGTAACCTGCAGCAGATTCCAGAGGGTATTAATCACCTCACTCGCCTCAAAGAGCTTCACTTGTACGATATGCCCAACAGATTTGTGGCCCCACTCAAGAATGGTGGAACATTGAGTCATCTGGTTTGCGATATCCCAAACATCCAATGTTATTACCTCGCGAGGAATTGGGCGCCAGAAGATCTCAATCTCATGGCTAATCCTATTTGATTCATAGTCCGACTCTATGATGGGAGCACATACACAGTAATCAGGTCAGCATAACCACTATCAAGTTAGGTACCTTGTAATTCCATCATTTTTGCTTCATCAAAATACGATGTATTGAATTATGATGTACATTTTTTTAAAGGAAACTACAATCTGAAACACATCTAATATCTGTTTTAATATTGCTTATGAAATTTGACAGGGTAAGGATTCAAGCAATGGCTGTTTTTATATCAAAGTAAGTCTTATCCTCTTCACAAACTCGGTGCTTAGTTTGATTAACCTTTTTTATTCCACAGGGTGTAGTGAGAAAAAAGCAAAAGGTAGGTATTCTCCATTGTAGATGATGTGATCTATCTTTTATTCAGACTACTAATGAGTTGCGTAATAATCATGCCAGGTGATGAGGCAAAGATGGGTGTGATGTGCTTTCATAGAACTGAGATGACGCCAATAATTCAGAAAACATGGACAACAGGTAAATGAAAAGTTGTGGCACCATTCAGTGATGTAGAAGATCTAGCTAATAACGATTACATATAATTTCATTGTTGAACTTCTTAAGTTTATTGCATTTGGGTTACGAAGGACTGTAACAGATTTGGGTTTGGAGTTCTCTTTCTTCCTTGGTAAGCGGTTGGGAGTCTTTTTTGTGTAAACTGATTGTTCATTTTGGATGATGCATTGATCAAAGTTATTTTCATCAAAAACATAATTATATGTTTCTTTCTTTCTTTTTCTTTTATTTTTTTTATTTATTTTTATTTATTTTTTTTATGGATTTTATTATCCTAATTCAGTTACTTCGTTAGTTACTTCGTTATTCGTTTAACTACTATAGAGATAACAGTATATAGATTTTAAATTTTCTGTATTACTAAAAATGTTTACCCTTCTAAAGGCAAAAAAAATAAGTTTCCAAAGAAGTTTATTATTTTTGTAGTGAGCTTGTATCATTAAAAAAAATGGTTTCTAGATATGCCATTGTCTAAGTGTAACCTTTTGAGCATCCCAATTTGAGCAAATTTTTATATTGTTCCATTGGAACTTTGTAGGGAAGCTGGCATTAGTAATCCTATTAACTAATTGTCAACCCATTGTTTCTTGATGAGCCTACTCGTTTAAAGACGAGACTCTTTTTTAGGTGTGTTCAATCAAAAATCCTAAAGAATTAGATCCATGGTTGCACAACCTTCAAAAACAAACCCAACCCAGATGGAGGGAAGGGTATACGGGAACCGTTTTCCACCAAGAAGACCCTATTGTCATTTGTTACCACATTTCCGCAAGAGGAGTAAACCAAACACCATTGTCCTCATAAGCAGCCATCACAATTGCTTGCAATGCCTCGGATTTATGCCATCAAGTCTCAAATCAAATTCAAATGCGTCTCCAAACACCAGTTTTCTCTCATCGCCAAGTCCCGTTTACACCCAAATACGAACACTCTTATCATCTTTTTAACAAAAATCCATCTCTTGTTAACACCAAGAAGTCGAAGCCTCCAAACCATAGATTTTCCCCATCTCTCCGTCTGACATAAAACAGACCATGGGGGATCTCGTCAAAGCATCCTAGCACATTCAAACATCACCCTTCTCCATTACCCATCAAATGTCTTGCTCTCCTCATTATCATCATCCTTTGTCTTCTTCACATTCAGCCTCTGTACCTCCACAACTCTCTTGCCCCTCTCGGTTTTACTTCATTTAGAGCATGAATTTCTCCATAATTTTGCCAAAACTTCATTTAGTCTGGAATTTTAAGAAGTTTCTTTATCATACATGTTTTTGATGTTGTATTTGTCTACTTTATATGTTAACTCTATAATGCGTAAACTATACTTGTGTTTTTGCATTAAAAAAATATATGTGTAGATATATATTGGTTTTACTTTATGTACAAAATTTAAAAAATGATTTTTGCTTAATGATTAAGTTCTTAATAATTCAGTAACTATTGAATTTTCAGTTTTCTTTAAGCTGCTTATTCAAAGATTTAAGTGTTTTGCTTGAATTAACCGGACAATTAATTTGTCTAGCAAAATTTCTTGAAATTTAATAGATTTTTCTTAATTATTAGGGTAAAGTGCAAAAAAACACTCCTGAACTATACTCTCTCTCCCTAAAAACCCCCCGAACTTTTTTTTTAACATTTAACCCCCTGAACTATCCAAACTTTTGCAAAACTTACCCACCGGTAAGGTTCCGTTTGGTTCCTCCGGCTAAATAGGCGCGTGATAATCACATGCCAGGGTTGTAACTTTAAAATGACAAAGCTGCCCTTATTGTATAAAACCAAAAATTTTGATACTTTCAAAAAAAAGAAAATATCCAAAATTAAAACCTAAACAAAATTAACCCCAAATCGTCGACTCTCTCTCTCTCTGTATCTTCTTCCCCAACCAGCCACTTCCACCATCCATGGACGCCACCACCGCCTCTCCCTCTCTCTAATCCAACTCCATCTCTTGAAGAAGATGAGAAAAAAAAAAAAATTAAGACAAACAACAACCCCCTCTCTCTGTTTTCTAACCCTAGGAATCCAACTTTTCCTGCAAAATCAAAGAGTTTGCAACAATCAACACCAATCCCCCCCCCCCCTCTCTCTCTTCTAGACCTTGGAACCCAACTTTTCTACAAAATCAATGCAAAAGAAGAAAACACACAAAAACACACATCTTAACCCTCAGCAATCCAGTCTGGTTGGGTCTCAGTAGGTGGGTCAAAATCCACAAGCACCGGACACGGCAATGCCGACGACGAACAACGAAGGCGACGATGGCGATCCAATAGGGTTTCAATCTGAACATCAATTCGGCGACGAGACCATGTTCTTGATTTGGGTTCGCTGAAACAAGCAATTGGGTCTAATTTGAACCATCAATTCGGCGACGAGTGAAAGGGGGGTGTGTCGCCGGCTGAGTTACGGTTCCGATGAAGAGTGTAAGGGTATCGATGGAGAGGAGTGGTGAGGGTTTTGTTTGGATTTCAATCCCTCTGTTTCATATTAAACTATTTCTCCCGAAAATGCTTCCTCTGGATATCTTCAATTCTCTGGACAGGCACATATATATATATATATATATATATATATATATACACACACACACACACATAGAGGGAGGGAGGGAGAGAGCTGCTCTTTATGCTGCCTTAGTTGGAGTGGCGAAATCTTGCGATTAGGATTGATGAAGAAGATAAACAGTGTAATGATAAGGCTGTGTTTGGGTAATTAGGTGTAACAGTAAACTAAGGTTGTGTTTGGGTGTGATTTGGGGATAAACCATCAAAACTGCATCCTTCTACTAAAGGATAATTTTGTAATTTTCTTTTTCTGGTGACGGAAATTTGCTTACTATCCTTAAATGCAACTTTTTAATAGTTCAGGGGGGTATTGGTTAATTCAAGAGGGTTTGTGCAATTGGCTGATAATTCAGGAGTTTTTTTTGCACTTTACCCTAATTATTATAATATCATTGTCTTTTGTGTACTTCAATTGGCTTTATTCATTTTTCTAAAATTTCTTATTTCAAAATTTTCTAAACTTATTGGTTTTATAGGGTGTCTTGCTATATCACGGAGATACATATAAACACTCTCTCTCTCTCTCTCTCTCTCTCACACACACACACACACACATGTGAACAAGACAAATAATAAAACAAAATTTCAAAAGAGATTCAAAACAAATTAACTATAGAAATAGAAAGGAGACGAAAATTTAATAAAAATCCAACAATATAAAAACTAACCTTATACTGTAAAAGGTCTTCATGAAAACAATTCTTTATGCCAATGAGACCTTGAGCAGCCATTAGGGCTTCGGCTTCTTCAATTAGTCGTCGACAGAGAGCGCTTGCACAAACAATTTGGTCTGAAAAGCAAAATTAATTTACTATATATAGATATATACTCCTATAATATTATCTACACCAAGCATGACCTTTGGACATGATTAAATTATTATATTTTTGTGGTAATTAATTTTTTTTAATAAAATTTTTAATCACAACTGAACAAGAGATGATTACGGGGTATGCGTTTTGTTTGTTGTGTTTTTGTTTTTATTTTGTTATTTGTTTTGTTTGTTGTGTCTTTGTTTTTATTTGTATGTAGTGCATTGTGAATAGTAATGAAATTTCATTTTTATTAGGTTCAGGTGATAAAGTAATTTTTTTTAAAAAAAAAAAAAAAACTCTTAAATGATATTTTTAAATTAATTATTATATTTTTCAAACTTGTAATATTTTTTTACTGAATATGTTTTTATTTTTTTGTTTTCAAAATTTTTAAAATAAATGGATGTTACCAAACATGCTTCCGATTACTATTCAAAACACTTTACAACAAATTTTGTTTCATATTAAAACAAAATGCTAAAAATAAAATACATACCAAACACGCCCATATTTATATATTTTTATATACAATGACATAGACAACTCCCAACTTATATGAAAGAGTTGTGAAGCTTTCAATATAGTACATTGAGTCCTCTCCCATGTCTTTTTGTTTTCTTTTTAATTTTTTTGTTTAATCAGAAGGTCTATCCCACGTCTTTTTGACAAGTTTTGTGATTTTAAATTTGTTTGGTATGTGTTTTCATTTTATATTTTTTGTTTTGGATCCGGTAGTGTAGCATTTTTCTTGGGCTCAATATTTTGGTAAATAATCATTTATTTTATACGGTACTAAAATGCTAAATAAATAGTGTCCCAAAGTCAAAAGACCAATTTAATATTTTTACATATTTTCTCATTATAGTAATGAAAACAGAAACACAAAGGTTTCTCATTACTAAACAGGCTAATGCAATATTCTAAATCAATAATAACTAACACAACAACTTTAAATACTTAACGCAATAACTTTAAATTGACAATGTAATAATTATGTAAAAACCTTAAATTATTGATTTATTTGTGGTTTCAATATTAAATTCATGAATTTTTTAGAAAAAAATTTGATGAAGAATTCACAGTTGGTGGAAGACATGCACTTTATTTTTGTTAAGACAATTATAAAATTGGCATTTGGATATATACAATACAGTCCTTAAGCAACTTCTTTGTTAAGTTATTTCTTCCTCTTCTAGTTCATAGGCAAAAAAAAAAAAATTTAAATTTTGTTTGCTCGAATCGTATGGGACCTATTGGTAATATATGCTATTATGATGTTTATGCATTTGCTTCATAATTACGGTTTAGTGGTTTACATCTATTAGAGGCCAGAAATCCAAGCCCAGGTAGATATATGGTTTTACTATTCGAGCCAGTCCGGCCCATTTTAACCTTTTGTCCGACGTTTATGGTTGGCAATGAATTCCGAAACTTAAATTCAATTTAATAATTATACGGCCCAACACATTTGGGACCTGTTACACGTGTCAGAATGTGTATAAAAAACTCCTAAATTTTGAAAATGTGTGCAAATTGTCACATGACCGTCAATTTTTATAAATTTTTTTTATTTATTAAAACCCCAAAACAACCTTAATAATCAGTTTCTAATGAGATTAATATATATATAATGATATTCAAAAGGAATATCGTTAAAATTAGTTCTTTATCACACATATATATCTATGTTTATGTACGTATATTCGAATACGTTGCACCCATCTTTTTTTGATAAAAAGGGATGGTTTTGAAATAATTACATTCGCATGACTACTACATGGTCTTACGTAACGCACAAAACCATGTTGTAGGTATGTGTTCAACACAATTAAATTTAATTTTAACATGTTATTTCAAATAATGTGTGCAATTAGTGTGAAAATAAAGCATGCTATAACAGAGATGGCGTAAATCCTCTGCTGTGAGCTTTCTATGCGGTCCCCTGTTGTGAGTTTTAAGTGGTTTATATTTTGCCACATCATTCTTCATTTAATAGCTCTTAAGGCAGAGTTTGAGTAGAATTGAGACAGCGTTTGGATTCTTCTTCATTACCATTTATAAGTATCTTCACACACAAAATAAATTATGCACATAATACAGACTAAGTAATGTCACATACAAATGTAACTCAATTCAACATATTATGTTTGGCAATTACACCACCATTTATAAATAACATTTTACCACCATTTATAAGTATCTTCACCCTTAAATTAAGATATGCACATAAATGGTGATATTACTTTTAGACTCTTGTGATGTTACTTTTTAGATCATGTGATATTACTTATAAATAGTGGTGAAATGTTACTTATAAATGGTGGTCTATCTTCACTCTTAAATTAAGGTATGCACATAAATGGTGATGTTACTTTTAGACTCCTGTGATGTTACTTTTTAGATCATGTGATGTTACTTTTTAGAAAGCGGGGTTATCTATATTATGGGGATTGAAGAACCTAAGGAGGGAGGCATAGTCTCCAGGTGATGTTTGTAGTTGGGATGGGAGGATCGGGCAAAACAACTCTTGTTAAGAAAGTGTACGAGAGGGTGAAGGACGAAGGGTTTGAGTGCCATGCTTGGATCACTGCTTCAAGGTCAAGAAAGAAACGTGAGATCTTATGGAGGATGTTCAATGAATTCTGCAATCAACCGGTTGAGCAAACTCCCCAGAGTTTCTCCAACGTCGAGGTTGACCTGGTTGACCTAACGAACAAACTAAGGGAGCATCTGCAAAACAAAAGGTATGTTGTAGTTTTTGATGATTTGTGGATTAAAGATGTTTGGGAAACCATTAAATTTGCATTACCTGGAGGTAATCACAGTAGAATAATTGTCACTACGCGAAGAGGCGATATAGCTTGTTCATGTAGAGATGACTCTACTGGTGTCTATAACATCCAGCCTCTTCCTATGGAAAAGGCTCAAACACTCTTTTGCAAGAAGGCTTTCCCAGGAAGGAGCATATGTCCTTCAGGGTTGGAGGACTGGTCCCAAAGAATCTTAACAAAATGCGAAGGATTGCCACTTGCAATCATTGAACTAGGTCAAATTCTGTCAAATAAAGAGAAATCTGAATCTGTATGGAAAAGATTGCTTGAAAGCCTTGGATCAGAGTTGAGCAGAAATGGCCGCCTTTCAAATACCATGAGAGTACTATCTCTAAGTTACAGAGACTTGCCGTACCATCTCAAGTATTGTTTTCTATACTTGAGCATTTTTCCCGAGAATGATTATCCAGTTAGGTGCAGAGTATTGATTCGGCTGTGGATAGCAGAGGGTTTTATAAGAGAACAAACAGGCAAAGAACTTGAAGACATTGGAGAGGAGTATCTAAAAGAACTCACCGACAGGAATCTGATACAAAGTGAATTGGATTTTGATGGGAGGCCAAAAACTTGTCGGTTACATAATCTCATGCATAAGATTATTCTCTCAAAGTCAAGAGAGGAGAATTTTTACAATGTTCTCTCAGATTCACAGAGAAACATAGGTGACAAACCCCGCCGATTATCTATCCAAAGCGGTGGATTCAACATGTTGCATAGGAACTTTAATTGTGTTCGCACACTTTTTATGTTCGGTGTACCCTACAGCTCCATTCCAGAATCCTCTTCAAGCGTGAAATTATTGAGAGTTCTGCATCTGGAAGGTGCACCATTGGAGGAATTTCCTTCGGAAATTTTGGAGTTACTGCTCTTGAAGTATCTGTGTTTGAGAAATACCAATATCAAAAGCGTTCCCAAGTCTCTGGGGAATCTTAGGTACCTAGAGACCTTGGATCTTAAGCAAACTAGAGTTACAAAGCTGCACAAAAAAGTACTCAAACTTGAGACACTTCGGCATTTGCTTGTTTATCGCTATGACATAGAACATTATACCTCTTTTGATTGTGTTAAAGGATTCGAGGTATCAGCAAAGATCAAGTCACCAAACTTGCAGAAGCTATCATTCATAAAGGCAGATAAGCATCACAAAGTGATTCACGGACTACGAAATCTGACACAACTAAGAAAGTTGGGGATCATTGATCTTCCAGGAGAAGATGGGTCAAAATTGTGTGAGTCAATTGACCAGCTGCGAAACCTCCAATCCTTGAATGTAACATCATTACGAAAGGATGAAGTTGTAGATCTACAAGCAATCACCAATCCTCCACAACTTCTTCAACGCCTGTATCTGAAAGGGCGATTAGAAAGGTTACCAATTTGGATTTCCAGACTTCATGACCTGGTAAGGATACGTCTTAAGTGGTCCAAGTTAACACACTACAATAACCCCATTGATATCCTTCAACATCTTCCTAATCTATTGGAGCTCCATCTGCTCGATGCCTATACTGGAAACCAGTTAGATTTCACTGCCAGAAAATTTCGAACTCTTAAGATCTTGGAACTTGAGCAATTGGAACAATTGAGAAACGTCAGAATGGAAGAGAATACCTTAACTCGTCTCCAAAAGCTGATTATAAGGCAGTGCAGTAACCTGCAGCAGATTCCAGAGGGTATTAAAAACCTCACTCGCCTCAAAGAGCTTCACTTGTACGATATGCCCAACAGATTTGTGGCCCCACTCAAGAATGGTGGAACATTGAGTCATCTGGTTCGCCATATCCCAAACATCCAATGTTATTACCTCGCGAGGAATTGGGTGCCAGAAGCTCTCAATCTCACGGCTAACTAATCCTATTTGATTCATAGTCCGACTCTACGATGGGAGCACATACACAGTAATCAGGTCAGCATAAGCACTATCAAGTTAGGTACCTTGTAATTCCATCTTTTTTGCTTCATCAAAATAAGATGTATTAAATTATGATGTACTTTTTTTATAGGAAACTACAGTCTGAAACACTTCTAATATCTGTTTTAATATTGGTTATGAAATTTGACAGTGTAAGGATTAGATCCATGGTTGCACAGCCTTCAAAAACAAACCCAACCCAGATGGAGGGAAGGGTATATGGGAACCGTTTTCCACCAAGAAGACCCTATTGTCAATTGTTACCACATTTCCGCAAGAGGAATAAACCGAACACCATTGTCCTCATAAGCAGCCATCACAATTGCTTGCAATGCCTCGGATTTATGCCATCAAGTCTCAAATCAAATTCAAATGCGTCTCCAAACACAAGTTTTCTCTCATCGCCAAGTCCCGTTTACACCCAAATACGAACACTCTTATCATCTTTTTAACAAAAATCCATCTCTTGTTTACACCAAGAAGTCGAAGCCTCCAAACCATAGATTTTCCCCATCTCTCCGTCTGACATAAAACAGACCATGGGGGATCTCTTCAAAGCATCCTAGCACATTCAAACATAACCCTTCTCCATTACCCATCAAATGTCTTGCTCTCCTCATTATCATCATCCTTTGTCTTCTTCACATTCAGCCTCTGTACCTCCACAACTCTCTTGCCCCTCTCGGTTTTACTACATTTAGTGCATGAATTTCTCCATATTTTTGCCGAAACTTCATTTAGTCTGGAATTTTAAGAAGTTTCTTTACCATACATGTTTTTGATGTTGTATTTGTCTACTTTATATGTTAACTCTATAATGCGTAAACTATACTTGTGTTTTTGCATTAAAAAAATATATGTATAGATATATATTGGTTTTACTTTATGTACAAAATTTAAAAAATGATTTTTGCTTAATGATTAAGATCTTAATAATTCAGTAACTATTGGATTTTCAGTTTTCTTTAAGCTGCTTATTCAAAGATTCAAGCGTTTTGCTTGAAATAACCGGACAATTAATTTGTCTAGCAAATTTTTTTGAAATTTAATAGATTTTTCTTTATTATTATAATATCATTGTCTTTTGTGTACTTCAATTGGCTTTATTCATTTTCTAAAATTTCTTATTTCAAAATTTTCTAAACTTATTGGTTTTATAGGGTGTCTTGCTATATTACAGAGATACATATAAACACTCTCTCTCTCTCTCACACACACACACACACACGAATGTGAACAAGACAAATAATAAAACAAAATTTCAAAAGAGATTCAAAACAAATTAACTATAAAAATAGAACGGAGACGAAAATTTAATAAAAATCCAACAATATAAAAACTAGCCTTATACTGTAAAAGGTCTTCATGAGAACAATTCTTTATGCCAATGAAACCTTGAGCAGCTATTAGGCTTCAGCTTCTTCAATTAGTCGTCGATAGAGAGCGCTTGCACAAACAATTTGGTCTGAAAAGCAAAATTAATTCACTATATATATATATATACATATATACACACACTCCTATAAACTACAAAAATCCTAATTTTTAAATCATAAACAATTAGAGAGAATCTTAATAACAAACAAACAAACTCTAATTCCAAACATACCAAATTTCTTTGAAAAGTAATTGTTGTTTTCTTGTCTTGTCTTCTTCTCAAAAGAAATAATTACAGGGACCACAGGACTACCACCACCTTAAAAATCTCAAAAGATCTGGATTTTGAATTGTGGCGACCTTGTGGGCGGGTGTGTGTGAGCGTGTGCAGGGGGCACCAGTAGGCTACCACACTGGGCGAGTTATAGGTGCACAATCCCACATCGTCTGGGTGTGGATGGGGCAAGTGCTATATGTAGATTCAACACCCTTCTATGACACAATGCGTTTTAAAGCCGTGATGGCCGTGAACCCACCAGAACTTTGTAGTTAAGCGTGCTTAACTTGGAGTAGTACCAGGATGGGTGACCCCCCTGAGAAGTCTCTGGTCTGGGTGAGCCAAAAGCGGACAATATTGTATCAGAGCCTGACTCAGCCGGAAGTGTGGCCAACGAGGACATTGGGCCCCAAAGGGGGGGGGGGTGATTGTGGCGACCTTGTGGGCGGGTGTGTGTGAGCGTGTGCAGGGGGCAGCAGTAGGCTACCACACTGGGCGAGCTACAGGTGCACAATCCCACATCGTCTGGGTGTGGATGGGGCAAGTGCTATATGTAGATTCAACACCCTTCTATGACACAATGCGTTTTAAAACTGTGATGGCCGTGAACCCATCAGAACTCTGTAGTTAAGCGTGCTTAACTTGGAGTAGTACCAGGATGGGTGACCCCCTGGGAAGTCTCTGGTCTGGGTGAGCCAAAAGCGGACAATATTGTGTCTGACCAGGGTGAGGGTCGTTACATGAATAAAGCTTTAAGAAGTTCACATTCTAATAGAGTTATGTACCTTGAATGAAAGTATTAATCTCCATTGTAAGGGCATCCGCACCAGCCTCTCTGAATTTTGGTTCTCTAAAAACGCCATATCAGTTTTTCCAAGACCCACATCAGCAATTCCAAGAGTCACGTCAGCAGTTTTCGCTCTCCAAAAACATGCATTCCATTAGGCTCTCTGAATTTTCGCTCTCTAAAATAAAATAATAATAAAAAATTAAAATTATTGTTTTTTTTTTTAACTTTTCCTAAACTACTATATTTTTAACGGCTATATTTTTAAAAATTAAATTTTTAACCGCTATATTTGTAACGGCTATATTTTTAAATTTTGAATTTTTATCGGCAATATTTTTAAAATTTGAATTTTTAACGGCTATATTTGTAACGGCTATATTTTTAAAATTTGAATTTTAAACGGCTATATATTCATCTTATATAATGAAACTCATTTGCTCATTTGAAAATCATCACTATAATCATCTCTCTCCATTGTAGCAAAATATCATCATCCATCTTTTTCAATTTCAAAATTCGAATGGCTTCGTCATCACAAGCTTTTCCTTTGACAGACTCTAATTTTTCATCTTCCTCGTCATCCTCTTCGGAAAGTGATCCTTTTGGGTCGTTGATTCAACAGGATCAAGACAAATTCTATGAGATTATGAATTCAGTGAAGCCAAAGATAGTCGAGCAAGTATTTCAAGTCTGTAAAAAGAAGCAGTACATTCATCGTGACCTAGAGGGAAGCAACTATCAGCTAATGAAAGACTACTTCAACGAGAGTTGCACATATCCACCGGAGTACTTTCACAGGCGATTTAGGATGCGACGAGAACTTTTTCTTTGTATCCTTAATGATGTCAAAGCTTATGATGACTACTTTGTCCAAAAAAATGATGCAACTGGTCGTCTAGGGTTGTCTTCTATACAGAAGATGACAACTGCTGTTCGTATACTCGTATATGGTTGTGCAGCCGATCACTATGATGAGTATTTTAAAATCGGCGAGAGCACTGCCATTAAATGCCTGAAGGCATTTTGTAATACTATTGTTGTTGTGTATGCAGAGGAGTATATGCGCCCACCCAACGAAGCCGACATAGCATGGTTGTTTGAAGAAGGGGAGCAGAGAGGTTTTCCGGGTATGCTTGGTTCTATCGACTGTATGCACTAAGAGTGGAAGAATTACCCAGTGGAGTGGCAAGGCACACATAGGGGACGATCTGGTAAGAATACTCTCGTATTGGAAGCAGTTGCCTCACAAGATTTGTGGATCTGGCATGCATTCTTCGGAGTGCCGGGTTCACACAATGATATAAATGTGTTGGATCATTCCTCGGTATTCAACGGCATCATCAATGGCCAATTACCTTCGGTTAATTATGTAGTGAATGGACATCACTATAGAATGGGGTATTACCTGTCTGATGGTATATACCCTAAGTGGGCAACTTTGATGCAGATTATCCCGCACCCAACCACTTCAAAAGAAAAATTATTTGCTCAGCGACAAGAGGCAGTAAGAAAAGATGTGAACAGGATTTTGGGGTATTGCAGATCAAGTGGGCAATAACGCAAGGACCAGTGCGTTACTGGGAGAAAGACGACTTGCGCCTCGTAATGAAAACGTGCATCATCCTTCACAATATGATCATTGAAGATGAGCGTCATGCAAATGTTAGAAGATGGACTCCGCCACTGGAGGATACAATCTTGATTCCCACTTTAAATCGATGCCCATCAGTTTTAGCGGCACATATATCCTCTCGCCAACTTCAAATTCGCAATAGAGAGACAAATACGCGGTTGAGGAATGATTTGATGGAAAATCTGTGGAACCACTATGCTGATGAAGATGTTTAAGTTATGTTGCATTTTATTTGCTTTAAAGATGTTATGACATTTCGTGTACTAGAATTTTTATTATGTAATGGTTTTTTAAGATTAAAAATAATGAATTTGAATAAGAAAATAAGTATTAGAAAATTCTATGGGAATAAGTAGATGAATTTGTAATTTTAATTTTTTTTTTTTTTTTTTACAAAAAGTGTTAAAAAAAAGTTTTTTTTATTTATTTTTGGCCCAAATAAATAAGGATTACAAAATAAGGATTAAAAATAATTAATTGGAATAAGAAAATAAGGATTACAATTTAAACCAAAAAAAAAAAAAAAAAACAAATTTTAAGGAAAAAAACCAAAAAAAACAAAAGCTTTTTGAATTTATTTTTGGCCCAAATAAATTTCAACTTTAAGGATTACAAAATAAGGATTACAAATTAAGGATTAAAAATAATCAATTGGAATAAGAAAATAAGGATTACAATTTAAAGCAAAAAAAAAAAAAAAAAAAAAAAAAAAAACAAATTTTAAGGAAAAAAACAAAAGCTTTTTGAATTTATTTTTGGTCAAAATAATTTTTTTTTAAGGATTAAAATTAATGAATTGGAATAAGAAAATAAGGATTACAATTTAAAGCAAAAAAAAAAAATTAAAAAAAAAAAACAAATTTTAAGGAAAAAAAACCAAAAAAACAAAAGCTTTTTCCATAATTTTTTGGCTCAAATAAATTTTTTTTTTTTTTTTTTTTTCCGATAAATAGTGCCTAAACAATATATTCTTTATTTAATGAATTTTATTTTATTTTTTCCTCAAAAAAAAGAGCTCATTTGAACTTATTTTTAGGTTTTTTTTAAGGCACTATTTGGTGCACTGTTACACAACTATTACAAAGTGACAAAAGAAAGGCAACCAAACGGCGCTGTTTTGGACCCCTAAAAAAAAAAAAAAAAAAAAAATACCCCGATCGCGGGCCGGCTCGCTGAATACCGTGAGCCTCAAATGGGCCCTACCATTTTGAAGAGGCCGCTGGAAGACCCAAAGCAGGTTTGGCTCGCAGAATAAGGCTTCCGCTAGTGGGCTGCGGATGCTCTAAGGTTTGAAGCGAGAGTGAGGCGTGAGGATTGAAGCGAGAGTGAGGTGTAGGTATTTGATCTCGATCATGAGGCGTGGAGCAAGAGTTTACATGTTTGAGGTGATTTAATAAAAAAATAGAAAATAAAAAATCAGAGACAAAGTGTATGTCCAAACAAGCCTAGTGGGCACTTTAGTCAATTTTTATTTCAGATCTTACACAGTTAACTTTCGTCTGTTAAATCACCCCCTTGAATAGTTGATGGGGGTTTTTTGACAAAAAAAATAAAAAAGGGGTGTTTAATTCAAAACCCTAATAGAAAAGGGGTGTTTAATGCCGTTCACCCATGATTAAATTATTATATTTTTTTAGTAATTAATTTTTTTAATCAAATTTTTAATCACAACTGAGCAAGAGATGATTACGGGGTATGCTGTTCCTATGTTTTGTTTTTGTTTTTATTTGTGTATGGTGTCAAAACGTTTTGTAAATGGTAATGAAATTTCAATTTGATGTTTTTATATGTTTGGGGTAATAAAGTAATTTTCTTAAAAAAAAAATTCTTAAATAACATTTTTAAATTTATGATTATATTTTTCAAAATTGTAATTTTTTATCGAATATGTTTTTATATTTTTGTTTTCAAAATTTTTGAAATAAATAAAAGTTACCAAACATGCTTCCTATTACTTTACAACAAAACATAAAATTTTGTTTCGTATTAAAACAAAACGCTAAAAATAAAATGCATACCAAACGCACCCTATATTTATATATCTTTGTCTACAATGATGTAAACAAATTTCAACTTATTTGAAAGAAGTTGCGAAGCTTTCAATATAGTACATTGAGTGCTCTCCCATGTCTTTTTGTTTTGTTTTTAATTTTTTTTTGTTTAATTAGAAGGTCCATCCCACGTCTTTTTGACAAGTTTTGTGATTTTAAATTTGTTTGGTATGTGTTTTTATTTTATATTTTTTTGTTTTGGATCCGGTAGTGTAGCATTTTTATTGGGCTCAATATTTTGGTAAAAAAAAAAATGATTTATTTTATACAGTACTAAAATGCTAAATAAATGGTGTCCCAAAGTTAAAACACCAATTTAATATTTTTACATATTTTCGAGTTCTAGAAATGAAAATAGAAACACAAAGCGTTACTCATTACTAATAGGCGCTGATGCACTATTCTAAATCAATAATAACACAACAACTTTAAATACTTAATGCAATAACTTTAAATTGACAATGTAATAATTATGAAAAGTCTTAAATTATTGATTTATTTGTGGTTTCTATATTAAATTCATGAATTCTTTAGAAAAATTGAAGGAGAATTCACAGTTGGTGGAAGACATGCACTTTATTTTTGTTGAGACAATTATAAAATTGGCATTTGGATATATACAATACAGTCCTTAAGCAACTTCTTTGTTCAGTTATTTCTTCCTCTAGAGTTCATATGAAATTTTTTTTTTTTTTTTAAATTTTGTTTGCTCGAATCGTAATGGACCTATTGGTAATATGTGCTATTATGATGTTTATGCATTTGTTTCATAATTACCGTTTACATATATTAGAGGCCAGAAATCCAAGCCCAGGTAGATATATGGTTTTACTATTTCGGGCCAGTCTGGCCCATTTTAACCTTTTGTCCGATGTTTATGGTTGGCAATGAATTCCGAAACTTAAATTCTAATAATACGGCCCAAAATTTTTACCCGTGTCAGGATGTGCATAAAAACTCCTAAAATTTGAAAGTGTGCGCAAATTGTCAAATGACATTATGACCGTCAATTTTTATAAATTTTTTTTTATTAAAACCCCAAAAAAACCTTAATAATCAGTTTTTTATGAAATTAATATATATATATATATATATTTAATGATATTCAAAAGGAATATCATTAAAATTAGTTCTTTATCTCACACATATATATCTATGTTCGAATACGTTGCGACCATCTTTTTTGATAAAAAGGGATAGTTTTGAAATAATTGCATTCGTATGATTATATGGTCTTACGTAATGCACAACTAAGGGTGTTCAAATAATCTGTCAATTCGTCAATTCAGTCCATGCGATTCGATTTGGTTTTCTAGTCTCATGATTCCATGATGGTTTGAAAAATTAATAACACATCGGTTAACGAATTAGGTGCTGAAAAAACCAAACCAATCCGTGGCAATCCGTTCAAATTTTTTATAGGTGTGTGTGTGTATATATATATAGTGTGTGTGTATAACTGTATATATAATAGTGTGTATTTATTTATAATATAATATATATATATATATAGAGAGACAGAGAGAGAAAGATATATATTGAGTAAAGTGATAGGTATTGCATTATAAACAATTGGGAATCTCACATTTTCTTCAACAGATGCTCCTGCTGGCTTCTTAGATTGGTTACCAGATAGGGACGATTGCAGCGGACGTTCCATAAGTTGGATAACAGTACACACAATTACATAGGAGAGCCGCTCTCATTAGCCAAAGCTAAAGCACAACAGATCTCCTTTGTTTTCTTCTTTCTTCTCGGTAAATCTTCTGCTCAATAAATTTTCCTTCTTTTTTGGCAAATCTCCTTTCTTCTCCGATAAATCTTATTCCTTCTCTGGCAGCGTCGTCGACTTCCAATCTATGGAAACGTTCAATCCGTAAAACTGAACCGATCCAACCAATCTGTTATTTCACGGATTGATTTGGTTTGGTTTGAGTATTCTCACGAATCATTTCGGTTTCACAATTTATCAATTCGTTAAGACCAGTTTGAATAACCTTTGACCTCTAATCCGAATCGATCCGAATCGGTACACAACACCATATTGTAGGTATGTGTTCAACGCAATTAAATTTAATTTTAACATGTTATTTCAAATAATGTGTGAAAGTCAAGTGTGAAAATATAGCACTTTATAACAGGAACTGGTTAAAAGACGTGCCCCCACTTGAACCAAATTCAGGCTACACACCTACTTCTAGGACCTTTCTTTCTTGACCTAAGATGCGTCTTTGTGGATCCTCTGCCACACGATTCTTTGGATGACCCAAAAAGAAGTTTTTCTGAGAACCTCATTCTTTAGTTCTACTTTTTAAAACTATTGAATCGAAGTTTAAAAACAAAAGAGAAAAGAAAATGTGTGTAAAAAAAAAAAAAAACACACACACACACACAGAGACTCCGTTGATGAAAACTCATGTGGAACCTCATTTTGCTATATTATTTTCTTTAACCTCATTTTGTTATATTATTTCTTTTAGGGAGGTAATTAAACACATCCCATTTTAGCACTCCTACACTATATTTTTCAACATAAAATTAAAAAAAAAAAATTCATCAGAATGGAGTGTGTGCAATAATTGAGAGTTCTTTTCAAGAATAATTACATCATTTCATATTTTTTCAAAAAGCTAAATGTAATGCAAAAGTGATAAGGATTACAAAATACACTCACTAAAGTTTATGCATATGATTTACCTTTACTTAATTATTTTAAAATAAGATTCCTTGTGCTTGCTAATTGCATTACATAAAGATAGAACAAACTCTTGCAAAAAGACTAATTGGCTACTTTCACTTTGCCTTTTCCATGCAGCTTGACAGAAAATGCTGTGAACTTTCAAAATAGCCACACACACTGTAACGACCCCAAAACTAATGCCAAGAATTTTTTCTTTTTTTTAAAAAAAAAAAATTCGGCATAACCTCCCCTAAAAATGGACCTACCGCAACCTATTTAAATACATATTTAACCTGTCATGCAACTAATTTCCGAATTCACGGCAACAAAAGATAATGATACAACCTACTAATCTAGACAATGCTTCAAGCTAGGATTATCCTTCCATTCATCAACAAGTTACATATCATCAAGTTCGCATCCCCGCATCCCATATGTCATCAAGTATCATAAGTGTATTACATGATCATGGTTCTTCAAAAGA